ACACACACAGACACAAATAGACAGCCATTTCACACACCCCTCTGCTTGTTTCTGTCTAGTTTGGTGTGACACTTCTGTATCTTATCCTGAGTGAGGGAGAGAAGATGCAGAGTTCAGACCCCAACTGTCAACTCATGGATGACAATCGATGGTAAGTTATTAATGCTGTGACAACACTTTTGAAAATGTCCCCATTCTCTCTCTTACACACACTGACCCCCTCTCTCTGTCCAGGACTGAGTTGGTATTTTCTGTGACAAGGGAGCTGCTCAGCGTTCCCTCCTCGTCCCTCTCTCCTCCCCTCGTTACCCCAGCCAACCTGCTCTCCCTCTTCTCACGTTATGTCGATCGACAGAGGCTGGAGCTGTTACAGAACAAGTTACAGTGAGTTACATCCACTTGCAAGCATACTAGGTGACATACAGTAAGAAGTTGGTTGTACTGAAGAATTGTTCAGTAAATGTTTTTGCTTTGAAAGGATTCAGATTTAATATGGTATTAATATTACTCAGGTTATGTCATGAATAATTAATTAAAAACTTATAATGTGTTCTTTGCCTTTCCCAGGATCTCTTCATTGTCCAGGTAGAAGTTACTACAGACATCAACTTGAGACCTTCCCCTCCCGATGCAGACCTTTCTTTTTTTGTGTAAGAGGGGAATGGTGTGAGTGATTTGCAAGGTGAATCCATTGTGGGTCATTTTAATCCAACAGAATCTCCAGTCGTGTGCGTGTGCGTGTGTGTGTGTGTGAGAGAGACAGCGCATGAGATGGCTGAATGACAATTAAAAATTAAGTCTGCATTTTAAAATATCTTGTTTCAATTATGCCTGTGATGAACCTTCAAATTAAAAGTATTTCTATTATATAAGAATGTGGACTCTGGTCTTTCCTATTCATCCTCATCATTTTAAATGTCTCTGTCTAGTGTCACACTGCTGGAAACTGTGTTGGTCAGTGTTCAGAAAACTCCCCTGATTTAGCATTGGGCTTGGTGATATGACTTCAAATCAATATCCTATCCCAATTTTCTTTTAACAACTGCACCTCCTGGGGGTTTGGTGCTTGGTCTTCTCCTGTTCATCCTCTACTTGTTCCCTCTTGGTAATATCATACAACAACATGGTCTCTGCTTCCACTGGTACGCTGAAGACATCCAGCTCTACATCTCCACTAAATCCATCACCACTGCTACTCACTCCACTCTGACCAACTGCCTCACTGACTTTAAATCATGGATGCAAATCAACTTCCTCAGACTAAACTGTGATAAATATGATATGATCATCATTGGTCCCCATCCCACAACGCATCCAATAAAGTCCTTCTCCTCACCCCTAAAGCCCTCCATAACCAGGCCCCCTCCTACCTCACTGATCTGCTCCATCACCACACTATCCTGTTGGGACTACACAGATGGGACGTGATGGATCCAGTTTTCACGTTATCATTAACCATTGTCTGTTGGCCTCTGGTAGATGGCTAAGAAACATACAAAAGCATGTAAGCAGGGCATAACCCTATATGTAGGCCTATAGCAGCATAACCCTAATATGTAACAGAGAGTGACAGCAATTCTAGCCTTTCATAAATGATGTTAGAATGGGTGATGCAAGGTGAAGGAGATATATTGGGATGCTATGGGAGACATCTTCAAACTTGGGGGTGACAATTGCTTATGTTACTCTGTTAGCTTTTCTATATTGTTCCACCTTCTGGTGTCCTTGATGCAGAATCACTTCGGCCTGAGTGCTCATTTCGCCAGCTTCCAGAAAACTTCCATCACACAGCTGGCTGCCCCACCTCTCACCTGAATAACTACCCCACTTTATCTACTTATGGTGGTGGTAGTTGTCAACAATTGACCCTATGACAGGACATACACCTTTGGCCTTTAGATTGAAGGCCTGACGCTCTGTGCACCGAGCTTAACAGACCTGTGGAGAAATTGAGAAAAGAGAAGGGTAGGGTAAAAGATGCCACCATTCCATTTCATCTTCTGTCCAGTTTGACCTTTATAAAAAAGTACAATTAACACAAATATAAATAATGAAACCAAACAAACATACCTTGAACAACATACATTATAAGAAGAAGGGGGGGGACTTCTTTCAGTGGGTTAGGGTTAGATAGTTATATCATGTCAGTTCTATAGTCTATGTTCAAATCATGCAGTATAAAAACATAGCTCACTCTAATACATGGATACATACAACAAAGTATAATAGTAAAGTGCCCTTTCATGTGATATTGGTTTAAGTCATTTGTAAATCCAACAATAAACATTCATATCTATACACAACCATTGAACGGAAATACATTTTTGCAACTCGAGCATTTCCTTATCTACACTCAAACCAAAAAACTACTTCAAACAGAATGCTAGTATTTGAAACTGGATACTCGCAAAGTCAGAGTTTATGTGAAGTATTTAACGCGCATAATGTACGTTATTTATAATTGGATTTATTTATCTTTTCATACCCGATTGCATCAACCCATTTGAGCAGATTTGCCCAGTAAGTCAATGGGCCCTGTCATATAGAATAGCGCCGTTAGCTATTTATAGCTAACTATAGTTAGCTTTAACGCCGTTGGCTCCGTGGCGCAATGGATAGCGCATTGGACTTCTAGCAAATAATGTGATGTCATTCAAAGGTTGTGGGTTCGAGTCCCACCGGAGTCGCTTTTATTTTGGGATTCTCAATCGGATACAAAGTTAATATAATTGCAGCGCCAAACTGCGTAGATTAGTGTTCAATTAATAATTTTATCTAAACAATAATACACACTGAAATTAAACGGACATCAAGTAAATTTTAAAATTGTGCAAAAATCACAAAATGTGATTTCTGGCAAAAATAAACTGTAAGAGATAAGAACATGTGCATTTATTTATAGTCAATCAATCAATCACATTTTATTTGTATAGCCCATATTCACAAATCACAATTTGAGCCTGCATAGAGCCAGTATTTGGTTTTGTCCATTCTGCCTGGGCTTCTGTAGAAATATGTTGATGCAACATCGTGAACTGTAGAAAACGACCCATCCGTGCAGAAGATATAAAGGTCTCATTGTAAGGTAACAAAAATACAAGGATATTTTCTATATGTTTCTGAGGGTTCAGACAGTCTGAAGGTTCAAAATGATGCAATATGAAATTATGTCTATTAACTCCAACCACTAGATGGAGGCTACTTCACAAAACATCATACTATGTGCAGTCTAATAATCTCCAGCTATACAGAGTCATGGTGAGAACAGGTACACACACACAGACGATTCAGAAACAGTGACACAAGAGTGTGGCAGTTTGATTCCGTTACCGATTGGAACATTGATTATGGAAACTCCGAGGACATCAGTGGCCTTTCTTCTTCAGCTGGCTGCATGCATGGCCGTAAGAAACTCAAAATTATCAGTATATCATCATACATTTTGTGATTTATAGCATTTCTAAGAATAGTTTTGGTTCCTTGTGAAGATTTTGAGATATTTTTCCAGAAGAGAGGTGACAGGAATTAATTTTGTGTTGGTCAGAAAAGTGTGTGAGTAATCCTCAGATTTCACTGTGAAAAGGTTTTATATAGACTATTTTTTGGAAGAGAGTAGTTATGCTCTTAATTTTTCAACATTAACTTTAAAACAGCTAAAGAAAAGCTACCCACTACTCTTAATAGTTCAGCTGCTCGAGCTGAGTGTTACCTGGCTGCCTCCTGTCCTGACAATGCATACTTGATGAAACATGTTCAGTAGCCCGAATCTGGTGCAGATTTGGGTATGCTCCCTGATCAAATTGAATATTGACATGTCTCTAGAACAGTGGATGAATAGATCACTTGAGGATGACATTGTTATTTGCTATTCCTTTGTTTTAATTTAAGCTCACCTGCAATTGTTTTTATAGTTTTATATTGATAGTAGCTTCTATTCTATTTGAAAAGCAATCTTTCAAATAAAAGTGTGAGAATCAGTTAATCACTGACTTTCCCTGACCCACTAAGAGTATATATGATAACTAAATGCTGTATTTACAGTAATGCACATCCACAATATTCCAAGCAAGTAAAACATGTAGCATTTATTCTTTCCATAAGGGTTGAAGGATTTATCCAGTTGTAACTTGTTTGTAGTTTCTTGACTGGGTCTGACTCAAGTTTAGATTTTCACTTGTCTTTCTGTGTCTATCCAGGCCCCTGTGCCGTGTGATGACAAGGTGGCCAGTTTGGAAGTGAAGATCCAGGGTCTGTTGAACGTCATCAATGACCAGCACCACTACATCCAGGAGCTTCACAACAGCCACACCCAGCAGCTGGAGAGCATGCCCAACTTACACCTGGGTCACGAGAACCTGTACAGAGGTAGGGCTAGGTTTATATTGGAGATCCATATGTTTGTGTCATCATTAGCTGCTTTCAGACATGCACTGATGTCCGGATAATCTATGGACATTCTCCAGAGGGGCTGCATGTTGTACAGGAGGTAGAGTGGATCATCCCTTAGCCAGAAGATCAGCAGTTCGATCCCCATCTCACCCATTCTGTGTACTGAAGTGTCCTTGAGCAAGATACTGAACCCCCAAATAGCCCCTATAGGTTTGATCTGTGAAAGTGCTGCACATTGATGCACTGTATGTATGTGTGAGTGAGTGAGTGAATAGTAAAACTGTACTATAAAGCGCTTTGAGTGGTCATCAAGACTAGAAAAGCTTTACACAAACACAGATGAAATGCAGACGAAGGAGCTCAAATGTCCGAATGAGAGCCTCTGGACTTTCTCAGCCCCTGGTAAAACCTCCAGAGAAGGTTCAAATGAGTGGATGTGGGAACACAGCAGGACATCCAACTCAGGATTCACTGTGAGCGAGTGGAGGACAGATCCAAAACTAAAAAAATACCCACGAAGAATACAAATTCCTTAAGATGAAAAATACCATACAAGTAAAAGACACCTGTAAAAAAACCAAAAGAGCTCCACTTATCAGCTTCATCACTTTTCCTTAGTATGAGTGTATTTTCTTTATTCGATAATGGATGAAGTGATAATTTGTAATGTTGCTAATGTCCCTTTTCCACTGGGCAAAAACCTCATTAAGACCCACAAACAAATTATTTGAAGCACTGCAGTTCTTCTCAGCTCTAGAGAGCTTTTTAGCCTTTTCCCCCATTTCAGCTCCTTGTTTTAGTTTTACAGCTCGGATTAATCTTGTTTTGTCTGCAGGATATGTTTTAAACACAAAGCTCTGATAAAGTGTTCACTACCTGCTCAGCATCCAACAGCAGACACATACAGTAGTTAGCAGCCAGTTGGTATACACAGTGGAGCATTTTGCAGTATTTAGCAACACAGGTATTTTCCACTGGAGTTGGTGGATACCAAAAGGGAGAGAATGTTATTTTTGTAGGGAATCCACACGAAAACTTATCTTGCTCTGTGCCTACTGTGTAGGATGCTGTAAGTTAGCTGAGAAACTTTATAAGGAAATAACTCATGTGTCAAAGAAAAACTAAAAGAAAATCAAAATGGAGCAAACCTTTATCAAGCAGCCAATCAGTTTGTGGCAATGACCCTGCAGTTGATCATCCTAAGCCTGCATCTTAGAATCTCAAAAAGATACAAAGCAAACTGTTCCCATCTACTGCATCAATTCCATATGATTTCTACCTGTGTTGAATATTTCACCTGGTGAAGATATATATATTTGTGCATATGCACAGACTGTTCTGAGGTGTTTGCAGATGGTAATGTGGCCAGTGGGCTCTATGTGATCCTCCCTGACGGCTCTCCCACCGCTCTGAGTGTTTACTGTGACATGAGCAATGGAGGAGGATGGACCGTCTTTCAGAGGAGAAGAGACGGCAAAGAAAGCTTTGACAGGTGTGTTTTTCTGTGTCAGTTTTACACAAATTAAAAATGAGAATTCATATGTCAAGAAATGTGACATTGCAAATGAATGTGTGATTCAATTCAATTCAATTCAATTTTATTTGTATAACGCCAAATCATAATATACATTATCTCAAGGCACTTTACARAGAAGGTCAGGACCTTAAAATCAAAATATAAAGAAACCCAACAGTTCCCACAATGAGCAAGTACTTTGGCGACTGTGGKGAGGAAAAACTCCCTCATTAACAGGGAGAAACCTCTAGCAGAACCAGACTCATTGTGGGTGGACACTTGAGCGCCATCAGGTATCAGATCTGACTAGTTAAAAATGGAACAACAGTGTAAAGACTATTAATTACTGTGGATAACAGACACATTTTTATATCATAATGAATTACTGCGATATTGTAATTAGTAATAGTAAAAGTTGTTGTCCTGAGGTTCCGGGGTCAGAGATATCTGAAATGAGAGAGAAAAAGAGAGAGAGACTATTGGAGTACAGTGAAATAGTCATCGACATATAATAAAATAAATAAACGAGTGAATGTTGGGGGCAGAGAGAAGTGGAGAGGTGCTCAGTGCATGATGGGAGTTCCCTCAGCAGTCTAGACCTATAGCAGCATAACTAAGGGATGGTTCTGGACTCACCTGATCCAGAACTAACTATAGGCTTCATCAAAAAGGAACGTTTTAAGTTTAACTTTAAATGCAGAGATGGTGTCTGCCTCCTGAACCAAGAGTGGGAGCTGGTTCCACAGGAGAGGAGCCTGGTAGCTGAATGCTCTACCTCCTGTTCTACTCATACTGACTCTTGGAACCACAAGAGAGCCTGTGTTTTGTGATCCGTGTGTCCATTGTTTGCAGAGAATGGGTGGAGTATAAGCATGGATTTGGAGACCTCTACTCTCCCGATGGAGAGTTCTGGCTGGGAAATGAACCTCTACACTATCTCACCTCCCAAGGTGTGTAAATGTATGCATGTGTGTTAGTTTTTGGATGATATGTCAAGCCTATTCAGATTATTACCTGTGAAACTCTCTGTCTTCTAGGAAATTACGACCTACACATTGACATGGAGGACTTTGAGGGAAATCAACGCTTTGCAGAGTACAAGAACTTCAAAGTGGACAATGAAAAGGTAACACTGAGAAAGAAAATGATTCCTTATGCGTTATGGGTTAGGATTGTCACTCCAAAATAAAGCTTCAATAAGATGCAAAGTTTTGAAGAAAGCTTTCTCACATTCTTTTGTAGAATTTAACTTTTTAATAAAATTCTGCAGAATGGATTCATTCTGTACAATGAATCTAATCCTGTCCTTTTGTAATCCACTGCACACTTATCCTTTCTTTACAGCTCGTAACAGCTCTGTCTTTAACCTTGTCATCTCTTCTTTTCCCATAACAGCAGAGGTGTTATTTAGACTATGTGTCTTTGTATTTTATGTTCTTTGCTATGGAAACAGCAGCAAGGATGTCTGGCTCTAGACCTGCCAGCTGTGTTCCGTCTCTTTTATTCTCCACTTAGCTCATTTATTCATACATCTACATCTCACTGCTGCTTCATTTTCCTCTCAACTTATCCTATATCCTATTATTGCTATCATGCTCAGTCCCCCTTTCTCTTCTTTTCTCCCCATCAACCCCCCCCCCCTTGTTTGCATATATTTATGTCATTCATAATCACACCATCAATCAGTCACATGTTATTTGTATAGCGCATATTCACAAATCACAATTTGTCTCATAGAGCTTAACAAGGTGTGACATCCTCTGCCCTTAATCCTCAACAAGAGTAAGGAAAAAATACCAAAAAAAACTTTTAACAGGGGGAAAAACTACAGTAATATCAGAGAGCCACATATGAGGGAGCCCTCTCCCAAAACAGTGCAATAGATGCCACATACTCTACTGAAAACAAAACAAACCTTAAAATGCTTTCTATGAAGAAATAAAAAATTTGAATGTCACTCTGGATAAAAGTGTCAGTGTAAATGCACTCGTACCAACCGAAGATAATTCAGATCATTTGGCTTTTTCTCCTCTTTCCTCTCAAAGGACAAGTATCAGATACATTTGGGAGACTACACTGGGAATGCAGGGGACGCGCTGGCTGATTTTCACACTCCCCCTTCTGCTGGGCAGAAATGGACTGGTCCAAGCGGGGTCAAATTCAGTACCTTTGATCAGACAAACAACAGCAATCAGGAAAACAACGACGCCCAGTGTATCAGACACAGCAAGTCAGGCTGGTGGTTCAGCAGGTAATGGATACACTCTTCAGATTTACTCAGACTTTGTCAGTTCTCAAATTAACATGTATTCCACCAAATTATGTTTCTCTTTTTTTATCATCACAGGTGTGATTCAGGGAATCTGAATGGCCATTACTACAAAGGGCCGTATCAAGCCATGGCTGAGGACGGTGTGGTGTGGTATACATGGCATGGTTGGTGGTACTCCATCAAATCTGTGGTCATGATGGTGCGAGCTGCTGACCTCAAGCATCCACTGCCGGTCATCGCTCCATTACTTAGGCAACTTGACAGCACAGACAGTGTTGACAGTGATGATGTTGCTCGTGGCCAATAGGCTGAAAACAAGAGAAGAAGCGGCATGGGTCCTCAACTGTTTTTTTAATCTTTTCACATTTGTTACTAACTGGTTGAAGTCAGTGACATGTTCACTTATTACTGCTGTTTGACTTTTACCATTGTATTGGTTTTATCATTTGAAATAAAACAATGTGGATTTTAATAATTTCTCATATTGTATTTATTCTGTATACAAAGTACAATATAGCATGTTCCACTGAGGCATTTTGGTAACATCTGAGGTTTTTCAGGACAAACAAACAACAAACAGACAAAGGGGCATTTTTTAATGTTAGTTAAACAGAAGCCAGTGTCAGTCAGTTAAGGAATGTCTGGGAGTTTTCTCTGTTGAAATGATCGCTGGTGTTTTTTTAAGGTGAGAGAGACATGAACTGATCAGTCACTAGTTAGGCTTTGACTTGGGCACATGGTTGTTTTATGTGTGTGGTCTGCTTTATCTGTTTGTCAAGAGAGAGGTTTAACCGAAAGAGTAAATGGGGAGGGGGATTGATCCCTTTCTTATTAAATAAACTGCATATTTGGCTCTGAGACCGTATGTGTGTCTGAACTGGCCTGCTCACACTTAACATCCAAGGGTGAATACATTCCACACTGTAGCTTAAGTTAGAGGTTGTGAAAAGCTAACATGGAGAAACATTCATTCAAAGGTTCATGTCAGCAATTCAAGGTCAGTTCCTCAGGTTTGCTCACAGAAGGACAGGTACCAAGACAAGTTCATCAACTGCGTCTAGAGGTCCAAAACAGATTGTTTTTCTCATCCACCTCTCAAACAAGAGGAGTATAAAAGAACAGGATGAGCTGTACAACATAATGAAAGACAACAAAAAGGTAAGGACAGTCAACGAGAGTGAGGTGCTATTTACAGACCCTGAGGTGTGCCTGATATCTTTTTTTCAGGAAGATTTGTTGGTGAACCAGGCATTTGGTTGAGACTGATAGAGAGCAAGGCCAGTCCCATGCTCAGACTCAAGTGCATCAGTGCCACTGCAGTCTTCTTGCTTACAAAATAAGTGTCATTGTATGCAATTTATTAAATATGTACAAATTTATTAAGTAATTAATAGCCAACAACACTGCTGTGTTTCTCTTCCGTCCTTCCAAGGCTTAAAAAGGTGATAAGGGGAGTCAGGGGGCCAGAAAAGAGAAGGGGGGTCGCTGTCTGCTTTGGGGTTATCTAGGCGATAATGGAGCAGTTGTTGGGAAGGAGGCAGAGTTCCTTGGTGAGTTGAAGGAAGAGGTGGGTAAGAGGTGGCGGGGACTTGCCAGCAGGTCGCCATTGTGCAACTTCCACAGCAGCTCCTCTTTTTCCATGGACAGACGCTTGTTGACCTTGGACTCTTTTTGCAACGTCTGCTGGAGTATGGCCTGTTCATTGGACAGCTGCCTGGAGGGGGAGACAGAGAGCTGTGACGCTGCAGGGAGACAGTGATAGAAACAGCTGAGAGGATAACTGAGGATAACATACTGGTCAGTTCTGCACAATCGAAGAGGTCAGCCAACAAAATAAACTCACATCACATATCCACGTTTTCACTGGTCAGATGACACCCTAATTGCTAAACAGTATATTTAATTCAATGACACAATGAGCAAGCACTAGATAGTATAGAAGCTTTCATACAGACCAATGTGATTATTTGTATTATAGTGATTCTCTAGTTTTGATGACCAAGATTAAAGATTCAAGACTTTATTTATCATGTGCAACAATTACATACAGCAGTCACTGGCAATGAAGTGCTTGGGCCACAGGCTCCTTTCTAGCCATGCTCAAAAATATTTGAAAAATCACACAAGCAAAAAAATGGATTTAAAAAAATAGAATATAAAAAAATTAAAACATATATAATAAAATATTCTCCTAAAATATTAATTATAAACTAAAATAAAGTATATTACTATTGAATAGACTGAATGAATGTAAGTAATACTGATTGGGATGTGCAAATATAGCAAGGTGCAAAGTTTAGAGGAATGACATACATTGGCCAGAAGGCAGAACATTTTGTGGCTGGGGTGATAAGGGTCTTTAATGTAAACAGAAACAGTACTCAAGTAAAAGTATTGTTACTTTATAATTATAATGACTCAAGTAGAAGTAAAAGTACTCATACGTACTTGAGTAAGAGTAAAAAAGTATCTCATAAAAAAACTACTCAAGTAATGAGTAACTTTATGGCTGGGGTGATAAGGTCTTTAATGATCCTGTTGGCCTTCTTCCTACACCTTCATCCTGTAGAGGTCCTCCATGGATGGCAGCTCCGTCCTAGTGATGTGCTGTAACTTTGCTGTAGAGCCTTCCAGTTCAGGGCGGTGAAGCTGCCATACCAGACGGTGGTGCAGCCAGTCAGGATACTCTCTGTGGTGCACTTGTAGAAGTTGCAGAGAATCCTGGAATACATGTTGAGGATTCAGGGATCCTCAAGAAGAGCCGTTGTCTGGCCGTCTGTGTGGCGGGTCCAGGTCATATCATCACTGATGTGAACCTGAAGCTGCGGACTCTCTCTGTTCTTCTCCCTGTCTCTTCCTTTGTCCACGATCAGCTCCTTCGTTTTGCTGATGTTGAGATGAAGGTTGTTGTCCTGGATGTCAAGGCTCTGACCTCCTCTCTGTACAGTACATCCAGTGCATCTATGGTCAATTTGGAGTTCAGTATCTTGCCAAAGCACACTTCGGCATGCAGATGGGGGAAGACTGGGATCGAACCGCTGACCGTCTGGTTAGAGGATGACCACTCTACTCCTTCAGCCACAGCCTTACTATTGTTAGTGTTAAATCCTTTAACAGTGGGGTCTCAAAGTGATGATACCCCCCTCCTTATTTCAAAGTCAGTGGGCTGAAACTCCCCAAACATTACAGAGAGGTATTTACTACTAAAATGTGTCTCACAAGAAAATACACTGACTCCAGGTGGTCACAGAGTGTAAAGCCTGAGAGGTTTGATAAAGACAGATGGAGTCAGTGAACAAGTCTTCACTTCCCTCTGTCTCTCTGCCCCCCCACACCTCTTTATTTATTTATTTATTTATTTATTAGTTTTAACATGTCATCATGTCAAAGTGTCACTTTGTCCTCCCATAGTCCCTCTGGCTCTTCTCTCTATCTCGTTTCAGATAACTCCGGCACCGGGACTACAGGACCACAAC